TAAGCAAAGTTACCTAGCAGGTAGCATCCTAGCAGGTAGCATCCTAGCAGGTAGCATCCTAGCAGGTAGCATCCTAGCATACGAGTCTTTCCTACTATACTCGTTGGCCCGAGTTAGCTGAAATTGATTTGCATCTCACTTTGATACATTTCACACTTGTTTTCCTCAGATGATCTGGCAGTGTACTATGCATCCCCTGAAACCTATTTACGCACTCCTAGGGGTGAACTCACAAGTTTGATAAACGATGACCCAAGACAAGCTCCTTGCCGGCTTTTGATGTCAGGACTCGCAATGTCACCAATGACAGGATGCACGACGCCACTAATGTCAGGATGCATAACGATAATGTTTCTTTAAATATTTGTTTTTGCGAGTAGTTTACATTAGTTATTGATGGTACCAATATCTCCTCCCTCTTCTTCCTTCCTCCCCGCACTCTTTCATATTCCCAGATCTAAACTTACCTTTGATGAGTTTCGGGAGTCTTACTGCTCTTGGACTCACTGACTCCAACTCTGACTCGCCCATTCACCGATTCCCTCACTGGCTGACTGATTCACTCAAATGACTCGCCCACTGACTCACACCGTCTTACACATACAGAGATAGAGAGAGAAAGAGAGAGAGAGAGAGCGGGAAGGAGGAAGTGGGAGCCAGATAGCACATGCATGAGGAGTGGAACAAGTTTGATGGTTCATCACACATACACAATAACAAACTGACACACCACCTGGTCGCAGTCTCCGTCACCCAGCCTCTGTTGCCAGGGCAACGACTGCCAATATACTCTAACTTGACAAACTAATTTTAATCATGAAGAGGTGCTAAAAACACAGGGGTCATAGAGCGCCTGGGAATAGGAAATTGAGTTAAATTCAATAGATCTAAGAGTCCATCATTGGCGTGAAGACTCTTTGGGTTAAGGAACAGAAGCTTTCCTTCCCTTGGATCAAATCTGATTACCTCCCAGTCTCTAACCACTGTATGAACCTTGCGAATTCAGCACTTCCCCGTAGATATACTGATAAAAGATATTACCAGAATAATGGTAGAAATTTTCAGTGGTAAACTTAGTAACAAGTGCCAGAAAAGCCACAATGTTACGGCAATGTAACCCGCTGCCAACATGTACAAACAGCTTGACCCGATCTCATGTCAGGCTTTGAGAACAGAACGAAATCAAAACAAAGAAGTTGATTATAGAGATTTCTAAATATATGGTGGTGAGAAAAGCGGCTCTCGCCACAGTTCAGGGAATCAAATCCGAGGCTGAAAGTCTATCCAAATACATTACGTGATGTGTGTCAATTATACACACGTTCAAGTTGGAAGAAGTGATTTGTAAGTAGATTTGTACGTGTGCACACCGTGTGATTACCTGTTTGTAGTGACTTGTCTACATTTACCAAACAGTAAATGACTATCATTAATTGCCAGTTTTAATACTTGCCTATCTGTAATTGCTCGTATGTAGTTAACTATTCGTATTTAACAATCTGTAATGAACTGTCTAATGATCTATCTATAGTTACCCATTTGAAAAAGCGCTAAACGCACTGGGGTCATACAGCCTGAAGTGTTGTGTGGGCGAAGAAATAATCTCGACAATTAAGCCAAGAAAATGGCAAACTACGTCCCACGGACTGTACTTCACATGGTGTGCATAACCATAGACTTGACATTCTTAACCATCACAACAGGAAGTCAGATCTGTTGGAACCGGGCCTTGGGGGGGGCGGCGACCCCAAAATAGTCTTCAGGTAACCTTCAGGAAAGCCTCTTATACCACCTGTCTTCAGCTGAGCCTCTCACACCACCTGACTATTGACCTCACTAGAGAAAATTATTTTTTTGCGTGTCTTTAATTTACAGTTCCCACGCTTTTCAAAATATCAACTCCAGCTGACCTCTCATTTTTTTCAACGCTCCAAACTCGTTATCTTGTTACTCCTTTAAAAAAAAATGCAAATTATTTTTATATAGTGTGAGTAAATCTGTTTTGAAGGTCATTAGCATCCTCAAGCAGTCTCCATTCAACGTAACGGTGGCTCAGTGTGCACAATTTGCTTCAGGCAATATATTTCATGTGTAGTTTCGGGCAAAATCTTGTGTAATTCCTTTCAGGTAATACATTTCCACGTTCAAGTCCTTTCAGACAATATATTTCACGCGTAATTCTATTTTTTTGCAGGGCAATATATGTCAAGCGTAATTCCTTTCGGGTATTATATATTACTTGCTTAATTCTTTTCGAACGATATATTTCATGGGTAAATTCCTTTCAGATAATAAATGTAGCCGAAGTGAATAAAAAATGACTCGGGTTTAAAGTCAGACGCAAACGTAACAGGAGAAATTAATTAGACGAGAAAATGTCATCACTTAATCACACACTTATATTCCGATGTAATTCACATTGCACTATATACATCTGTACATGTCAGGAAAGTTCGGTGGAGGGGAAGTAGAGTGTGATTATATGCAAATGTTTTTTTTTTTAATTACATTTGAGGGTTATCTTTTTTTGAACGTTTGTGTCATATGTATAGTAATGTAAAAACGCGAGAGAGAGAGAGAGAGAGAGAGAGAGAGAGAGAGAGAGAGAGAGAGAGAGAGAGAGAGAGAGCAAGAGTGGGAGTGTGTGCAAGAGAATGGGGGAAAGTGAGGTGAGGAACAGGTGGACGTAAACACTGGGATATCGTGAGTAACTTCTGAACCAACACCGTGATACGAGTGGCCACTGCATGGGAGAGGTGTGTGGCGGCTAGTTGAATCCTGTGTTTGCAGAGCAAGTCCAGTTTGAGCAACTGAATTTATCTGGCGTTCACAACTTCTACAGTGAAACTGTTCCAGGGCTCCACAGTTCTGAAAAGAAACTCCAGTCTACACTCGTCTTTAAGCTCATACAATGAAATTTCACAGTATCATCCTTGAGTATATCAATATTGTTCCATATCTAGTTGAATGGTCACAGACGTCTGGGGATCACTTATCAAGTGAATATCCCAGAAAAAACGATTGTATTGATCATTTCTATATCCTCAAGTTTATCTCTACGTAATTACGGGATCAGAACCGGGTAGTATATTCAAGATGGTGTCTGACGAGATTCTTGTAAAGTGTTTATACTCTCTCAGGAAGAACTATGTTGACCTTGCTGTTTGCAGAATAAATAATTTTTAAGACTATTCCATGATCAGTATAAACCCTGGTAATTTATACCGACAAGCAGTTTAAAAAAAAAAAAAAAAACAGGCATGTAAACACTGACATTTATTAAACAAAGTTTCGGTCCTGGTATTTAATAATTTCTAACATAAAAGACTCAAGAATAACAGCACAACCAGTCTTTGCGAGTTTATGTCAGCTATATCCATATATTATTAAATTCTGTCTTCACTGAAATTCATCTTTCACTGTGATAGTCTGTTCATGTTTCTCTCCATGCACTGAAGAGGGAGATAGAAGAAAAAGTGGAAGTTGATACAAGGCTAAAGAGACAAGTATATAGGTATATACGTCTTCCTTATGCATAATTTCTTTTGTAAACAAACAATCCCGTTTATAACATTACTCATACCAGAACATTTCACAAAAAAAGGTTCGGAATAAAACTGGTTTATAAACACAGCTTAAAGTACCAAATTTTTTTTTAAACTGCCACAACCTGAGGGTCATACAGCGCCTTGGGAATAGGAGGTAAACAGGTTCGATCCAAGGAAATGGAGTGTAGGTGCAATTTCTTATATGAAAAGCCCCTCGCCAGCATTAAGATGTTTCCCTTGATGGGAAAGACACCAGAGCGAACCCTTATTAGAATACATTTAACTCAAAACTCATCATCGCTGTAATATAGACTATTCCAGCTATAACAGAGGCTTGATCTGCTATAATACAGGATTACCGAGTTATAATTTTCCTAACATTACTGAATTATTCATTCTTGATGAAGGTGATAAGTTGGCCAAAGAACACTGAAGGAAAATGAAGAATATAACTGATATATCAGAGTCCAGTATTAGGAACAATATTAGAAGTAAATAATGAAAGTGAATGTCCTAAGAAAGCGGTTAGAAGCCTAAGTAGATCTATCACTTATGATAACTTGAACTAAGATATGCATGTCTACGGAGCAACTTGCAATGTGGACAAATTGATTGATAATTTAGCTAAGTTTAGGCCTGGTTATAATTACCTCTGGCAGACACAAATGATGATCAAACTAAATACAGAGTATGTTGTCAACTTAATGGTCACTTTCTTGAACAATGTGCTTAATTGCCCAATTACTGAGGAATATATACTATAATAACCTATGCGATATACAAGAATATTTTATTAACGACAATACAATACCAATACGATATTTTAAGCAAATATCTTAAATTTGCTTGCAACAGGTATGACAACTGTAGATATAAATCCCGATGCACTCCAGCTAACCCTTTTGGGACCAAGTACCTGCGCTTTTTCGTGTATCTGTAAGCTCTTGCGCTACCCTCCACATGATGACTATGGGGTACATCAACTAGCTGCTTCGGTAGCATGTTGCCTTCCAACAACCCAATATCTAGTGAGGTACACAAATGTAGGCTACTGAATGCATTAATTTATTGCCTTTACGGATAGATACATAGTAAGTAAAGCACTCCTCGACTACCTAAGTAGACATGAACTGCCTCTATCAAATAGATAATTCCAGCTTCCGTTACGCAAATAATTCCAACCTAAATAAATCCACACCCGAATATACAAATTAGTGATTTCATTTCAAGATTTTGAAACAAACATTGTTAATTGTAATAAAAAAAATATGAAAATTTAAAATGTACATAAAAAAAAACGTGAAAATATTGTTGAATGACTTTTATACTTGAGAATTTATACGAACTCATTCATATTTACTAGCGACAGTTATATGTCGGTGAAGCTTGTGGTGGAGGCAATGGTAGGCTGCCAGGAAAGCTAAATAAAAAAAAAGCAAGAGGGTGACTTACGTAGGACGGAGAGCATGAAGGTGTCAACCTTGGTTTCCCCGAGGGCCTGGTTGGTGGCATGACAAGTGAACATCATATCACGGTCCACAGGAGGCACTGCGAGTGCCAGCTTGCTGATTGTGTGCCATCCCCCAGGGCTGGCTCGCTCGTGCCGCGTCGACGACTCTTGCTTGGGCTGACCGTCCACCACCCACGATACCTCCGCCGGTGGGTTACTATTGTCCACGAAGCAAGTGAGGGTGACGTTCTCCCCCACGCGGGACTCCTCAGGGCCAGAGACCATCACTTTGTCAGGTGGAACTGGAAGAAGATAAAAATATCTGAGTTCAGGTAGGTGGTTATTTTAATCGGGAAGAAACCCTAAAATCACGTAACACAGCGTATGGAGGAGCGGTAGGCAGTCAGGTTTGATCCAAGGAAGGGGATGACAATTCTAGTTCCTTAAAACAAGAACTCTTCGCCGGGATCAAGGAGACTCCCTAGAGGGGAAGAGGAGGAGGATGGGGGGTAAAAATACAGCTAAACGACCATTGTTTATGATGTTTCCAGAAACCTCTATTTGCATCATCACGAATGAGGTAAAAATAAAGAATTTATAATTAATTGCAAATTATTATATGAAATGTATCACCGACAAGCTTTAATAATATGCATTTATACAATAACCCTTGGGTAGCATTGGCAATGGGTTGGGCAAATGTTTTTGTTAGTGGGTTTGGGTTGGAGGAAGACCTGCCTAGTAAGGGCCAGCAGGCCCATTTGCCCTGAATGACCCGGTAGGGTCATTCAGGGCAAATAGTGAGAGAGGCTCGATCTTTCATCCGGGAATGGCGAGAAACACGCTACTAGACATAATAATTGCAAAGGTTGATCTGGGAAGCGTGAGGACCATAACGGGCCTGATGGCCCGTGCAATGTAGGCCATTTAATAACAAAGAATTTAAAACAATAAGTATATCATAATCGAAAGAAAACAAAAAATATATAAAGCAAAAATTACCATAATATTACAGTGATAAAAACTCGCAGGAGTGGGGGGTACCGTACTCAAGTAGCAAGTATCAAGAGCGTACGAATCTCAACTCCGTGGCCGAAGAGTAACTGGAGAGCTCTTTGAACCCTCTCCCCCCCCCCTCACTGGGTGTCTCGCGCAGGCGCACGTTTCCGAATGGCCGAAAATGAGGTTCACTTAACAGTTGCCTTGTACCAGAATAACTAGAGGATTTACCCAGGTGCTGGAACTGGTATGGTGTCACCGACAAATTGTAAGTATAATATAAGAACATATTAAGAAAACATTTCGCCACGAGCGGCTTCTTCAGACTGAAGCAGCCACTCGTGGCGAAACGTTTCCTTAGTAAATGTTTCGGTCAGTGCACACGTGTCTCCGATATTTACCCAGGTATCCGGCAACTCCAGCCATGAGTTGTCTCGTCGTCTCACCAACGTTCTGACATTACAACCTATTAACGTATATCGTCACACACTTAAGATTCAGGTAATTAATTTAAACTTATTTCATACATAACCCTTATCCATAAATGAAATAAACAATGATTTTTTTTTCATAGTAAGAATTGGGCTTTGAACGGCCACTTAGAGCATATATTTACTTTCTTGCTATGCAGGTAATTACCACTTAACATGTTAAATCGTTTTGTTCTAATATTAGCTTTATAATTTACAATTCATAATCAAGACTTTAGCGCTCACCCATGATTGATGATGATAATGATGATGATGATTAATGATGATTGATTGATGATTGATGATGATGATGATGATGATGATTGATGATGATGATTAGTATAATCATAACATCCGATACGTACAAGACTATCGGATGTTTGGATAATATTAGTCTTCATTATTATTATTTATATAATGATTATTACTATTATTAAACTACATTTGAGTTGAATATGTATAACTCGAGATAATTTAGTTATTAAATTAGTAAATGTTGGCTTTCCGTAATTTAATGTCGTAAATGAACTCTCAGCTTTAAAATCAAGATGTTCAGAAAAGTAAACTTACAAATAGTATTTTATATGTCATTGCAAAACTTTACATTAATATGATAATTTAAATAACCAAGGTATAGCTGAACAATCTCAGTGCATTTAAGCTGCATAATCCTACGGGTTTAGCAGTCCCCCTTGATTATAATAAAAATAATCAGTGCATTTAAATTTGTGAACGACATGACGGAAGGAATAGACTCTGAGGTGTCCCTGTTTGCAGATGACGTGAAGCTGATGAGAAGAATTCATTCGATCGAAGACCAGGCAGAACTACAAAGAGATCTGGACAGGCTGCAGACCTGGTCCAGCAATTGGCTATTGGAGTTCAACCCCACCAAGTGCAAAGTCATGAAGATTGGGGAAGGGCAAAGAAGACCGCAGACGGAGTACAGTCTAGGGGGCCAGAGACTACAAACCTCACTCAAGGAAAAATATCTTGGGGTGAGTATAACACCAGACACATCTCCTGAAGCGCACATCAACCAAATAACTGCTGCAGCATATGGGCGCCTGGCAAACCTCAGAACAGCATTCCGACATCTTAATAAGGAATCGTTCAGGACCCTGTACACCGTGTACGTTAGGCCCATATTGGAGTATGCGGCACCAGTCTGGAACCCACACCTAGCCAAGCACGTAAAGAAACTAGAGAAAGTGCAAAGGTTCGCAACAAGACTAGTCCCAGAGCTAAGGGGTATGCCCTACGAGGAGAGGTTAAGGGAAATCGATCTGATGACACTGGAGGACAGGAGAGATAGGGGGGACATGATAACGACATACAAAATACTGAAAGGAATTGACAAGGTGGACAAAGACAGGATGTTCCAGAGATGGGACACAGCAACAAGGGGACACAGTTGGAAGTTGAAGACACAGATGAATCACAGGGATGTTAGGAAGTATTTCTTCAGCCACAGAGTAGTCAGGAAGTAGAATAGTTTGGGAAGCGATGTTGTGGAGGCAGGATCCATACATAGCTTTAAGCAGAGGTATGATAAAGCTCACGGTTCAGGGAGAGTGACCTAGTAGCGACCAGTGAAGAGGCGGGGCCAGGAGCTAGGACTCGACCCCTGCAACCTCAACTAGGTGAGTACAACTAGGTGAGTATACACACACACACATTCCGATTCCTCAATAAGGAATCGTTCAAGACTTTGTACACCATGTACGTCAGGCCCATATTGGAGTATACAGCACCAGTCTGGAATCCGCACCTGGTCAAGCACGTCAAGAAATTAGAGAAAGTGCAAAGGTTTGCAACAAGACTAGTCTCAGAGCTAAGGGGATCGTCCTACGAAGAAAGGTTAAGGGAAATCGGCTTTACGACACTGGAGGACAGGAGGGTTAGGGGAGACATGATAACATATAAAATACTGCGAGGAATTGACAAGGTGGACAAAGACAGGATATTCCAGAGATGAGAGACAGAAACAAAGGGTCACAATTGGAAGCTGAAGATTCCGATGAGTCAAGTTGTCAGGAAGTGGAATAGTCTATAAAGTGACGTAGAGGGTTTCGGGGGGTTAATGCCCCCGCAGTTCGGTCTGAGACCAGGCCTCATGGTGGATCAGGGTCTGATCAACCAGGCTGTTACTGCTGGCCGCACGCAAACTGACGTACTAGCCACATGCCTGTCCAGTGCCTTCCTATATATATATATATTATATATTATATATATTATATTATATATATATATTATATAATTATATATAATATATATATAATATATATATATAAATGTCGTGCCGAATAGGCAGAACTTGCCATCTTGGCTTAAATAGCAACACTCATCTTGCTATATAGGACAAGCGAAAATTTGTGTATGCAACAATTTCGCCAAAATCATTCTGAACCTAACGAAAAAAATATATTTCACTGTGTTTGTTTAATATTAAATTATTGTAAACAAATCTAAAATATATTTAGTTGGGTTAGGCTAAAATAAATTGTTCTTGTTATAATAAGGTTAGGTAAGTTTTCTAAGATTCTTTTGGTGCAAAATTATAAATTTTTACATCAACATTAATGAAAAAATGTATCTTTAAACATATAAGAGAAAATTTCAGAAAGGACTTAATTTTAAATGATTTTTTGCTAATTGACTAGTTTTTACACACACATACACACACACACACACACACACACACACTATATATATATATATATATATATATATATATATATATATATATATATATATATATATATATATATATATATATAAAAATGCTCAAAGCCAAGGGTGGTCAGGGGAAACAGAACTGATCTCGTTTTCAAATATTTTCACCCCAACATATTCTCGTCTCTGTCTCGACTTTCTCCTTCAGACACCAAAACACCGCAGGTCGAGCTATGCCCATATTAATCTTGAAAGAGGATGGATGTAGTGTGGAGAAGTGTGTTATAGCAGCGTGAAAATTCCTCGAATCACGCGAAATTTGGGAAGAAAAGCGCACGTAAATGTGGAGACTGATGTAGCCTTGCGGTAGGGAAAACATATAATCTCTATTTTTCACCTGCTCGAGCAAGAGCAGCAAAAGGTTACCCCGGAATTCAGAATAGCGATATATATATATATATATATATATATATAAAATATATATATATATATATATATATATATATATATATTCCTTATTGTCGTTCGACGGTAAGTATTAAGATCAAGTATAAATTAGTATTTTTATTAGTAAGATGTATAGGGAATCGGTAAACCGGATGGGATCATTACCCACCTGGGAAATGTGAGATTATATCACGTTTGGTCAAAGAACAGAAAGGGTAACCCTAATTCCTTGAATGAAGAGCCCTTCACTAGCATTAAGTCACACTCCTACCCACTTCCCCGCTAGAAGGTATGAAAATTTCAATAAGAAAAAGTGTTTCATCGTTATCAATCTACTTATGTTATCATTTAGAAGTAAATATAACATCTAGTTAAAAAAATATTACTCTATATATAAAGAAAGAATATTTATCTTTCAAAATTGAAACATAAAGTTCTCGGATATTTCACGACTCCGCGTTTGAGAATATCCCTTTTAAGATAGGCAAATATTCCCAGCAGGCTGCACTGAGATTGCTGAAATAAAAAACGTTTACGTTACTGTACCTTGTGGGAAAAAAATGAACGAATGGGGAAAAATTAGTGATGCAATAACATATCCACATTGATTATTGGCGTTAATACAAATGTGATCGACAGAAATAATGGTATACAAAGTCCAGGGAAGGCATACGCTTGCCAGCACACTAAAGAAATTACAAAGATTCACA